AATTTTTATTTTTTTGTGTAACTTAATAATTAAAAATATAATAATTACATTCTTAACTTATAAACTAAAAATACAAATTTTAAAAACTTTTAAAAAAATCAGAAATAAAAAAATAATTAGGACAAATAAGGTCTCCACTTGCAGCTTATCAATTTATCATTTTTTGGCTACATTTAATTACAAGTTATATAAAATAAAATAATTTTTTTTATTCTTAAATCCCTTCTTATCTTATTTAAGATTTAAATATAAAATTTATAAATTAAAATTTCAAATTCTTAAAAATTAACTTTATCTCATTGCAATTATCAATTTATCAATTGTTGAATACACATAATACTTCTCAATGTAAAAAACAAAAGAAGAAGAAAAAAAGTAAGGAAAATGTTGCGTTCAAACGGCACCAAAGTTTTGTGCACTGCAAACGAACAACATATCATAAACCAGGATGCGAGGGCCCCTAAATATAGGACCGTGTGATTGATTGCACATAATAGATCAAGTCTCAATATGAGATCAGCAACACCAACAAACCTGCAAACCTCAAAGGTTGAACTTAAAATAAATATTTTAATACCTAAATTAATAATAATTCATCTTTAATTTAAGGTGAGTTTGGCAAAAGGTTTATGTCTCAGAAGGTGTCTTTCCAAAGGGCCTCAAGAGTTATTTATAAACTTAATAATAATATTTACGTGGTTCTCAAAAAAAAAAATAATAATAATAATCAATGCAGGATGTAATTAATAGAGTGAGCATCTCAATGATGCGACAATGTTCTATGAGCCCAGTTTCAGTCAATAGTCCACCTCGAAGCGAGGAAGGACTCGATGTCCAAAGTCATTAATCTCGGGCACATCACTACAAACCACCACTGCATTCATTCGATAACTTATGTTTTTGTAATTTACTGTAATTTGATATTAAAATATTAAAATTTTATAATAAAAAGCTTTTTCAAAAGATAATAAAAGTAGAAAACGGCCACAACAAAAAATTTTTTATGTAAATTTAAAGATATAAAATTCAAGTTTCACTAATAATTGTTTAAAATAAAAAGATAATAAAGATAATAATTATAAAATATTAATATAATATATTATTTTATTAAAACAAAGTAACTGGACCGTCAATCATGCCTCTCAACAAAATCTAAAATCTCAATTTCCAAAACATCACTATTTAACACTTAATTTTTGTTATCAGGAAATGCAACTAACTTGATCAATTCAATAAGACTTTCATGCCGGAAGAATGAGGTTTTTGTGAGAAGTAAAAGATTATGACTCTTAGGTTTAAAAACATGCATACAGTCAAGTCTCTAACATTTAAGCTGAAACTTCTAAGTTAAACTCTTGATTAAACTGTCCGTACCACTTTTAGCTTAAGATGAATTTTTTAGTAGTTTTTAGAATAAGACATTAATTAGAGGTTACCAAATGACACTTATAAATACATACATCTGTTTGGTTATTGTTTTGTTGGAAGAAGTACCGGACCAAGGATATGCGGCCGGTAGTATTTATTAAAAATATAAATAGAAAATAAATATTCATAGTTTGTAAAATTCACTTTTTTTTAGATAAAATCATTTATTTTCTTTATTTTCTTTTAGTAATTAGAGGGATTAAAAGAGATTAGGAAAGTGCGATGTCCAATCCCACATATTTGAGTGATATGAAGATCAATTACTGTTTAATACAAATAATTTGAATTTAAGTTGTAGTGTTTGCGTGGATTTCAACATAAAAAATTATTAGGTTAATTTAACTTGAGTTTTTTTTACTAATTCATGTAACTGAAAATTATATTAAATTTTTATTAATTTATAATCGTGTCGCATTCCATAAGAAAAAACTCTTTCAGTCTTGATTTTTTTTATTAAAGAGACTCGAGTTTGATACTTTATTTAAAAATAACTGAATCTCTTTTACTGAGACTAATAAGTCATTGAATAGTTTGAGTTGTTTAAATTAACTTAATTTGATTATATAAAAAGGTATGTGAAGATTGATATATCTTTAATT